TCTCCACTACAAGTCCTGACTGCCTTTTCCTCTAGACCAATGCGGCTACAACCTGGATATACAAGGTAGGAGGTATTTCACTGCCTATCTGTGGTAGGGGGAGATCCCTCTCGATGGGAGGTACAAAATCCCTTAACTAAAAAGACTTGAGGTTGTCCAAAAGACCAGACCTTACTGTTGCATTGGGAAAGCTCCGTGGCTTCTCCCAGACAAACCACCCCTCTGCTTGGGAGCTCCTTGCTCAGCTATCAAGTCGTAGTTCAGGTGAGGCCTTCTTCAGTCATCTCATATTAATTGCCTATCATCTCCGCATTGATCTCAGCCACAGGGAAGGAAAAACCGAAGCCAGTCGTCCTGTGTGGCTGTGCAAAACTGTTTTTGGGTTAGCCAGGAACCCAGCTTTTGGAAGCCATCCCTGTAAGCCTCAGAGAAGCAGATGCTGGACATGTGGGTCTTATTGCTAGAAAGATCATTTATTAGAAATGAAACTCGGGCATTTGCATCCTTGTCCAACAAAGTTGTACAAAGTTTCACACGCAGTGGAAGTGGGACAGTCCCGACACCTCGAGAAAAGGAATTGCACAGAGTCACAATAATAACAGGACCCACCTACACTACACAATTCAAAATACAAATTCTCCAAAACATTTGGCATCAGATCAGCACAACGCAGGCCAGGATGGAAGGGGAAATAATAGTTTTGGGGGGATTTTTTTCCCCCTTCTCTCCCACTAGGTCTGCTGCAAAAAAAAAGCAGAATGACTGATATGCACCTCCGCAGGGCTTTGCTGTCGAGTGGGACAAGATAGGAGGGCTGAAGGCAACAAAAGGCAAAAAATGCAAACCTAGCCCCTTTCCGAATGGTGCTGGAGACTCTTGGCACCTATTGCAAACTATTACAGACTCGCTGGTAAATGAACTTCTCCCCCCCATAAACACCAGTGGATTAATGGCAAGCAGATGTGGGTTATGGATGACAAGGAAGGTGAGAGCAGGAGTTTATTGCAGCCGTGAGGACTTGCCGGCACCCAAGCAGGCCGTTTACACCTCGCCAGCTGAACCTGCAAGCCAAACTAATGCTTCTCATCCGCTTGAAGCTACAGCTGGTAGGAGGGAACCTGAGGAACGAGGGATTTGCAATATCCTTTTGCCTTCCCCACCTGGACCCTGCAATTAATCCCTGGGGCAGTGAAAATGACCCCGTCTCCTTCGAGGGAGGTGGCCTGACCCTCCAGGTTCCTCGTGCCAGCAGCGTGGGAAAGCTGCGCTTGGAGCCAGAAGACCCTGCAGTTTGCCGTGCAGCCCCCTCCTTGTTTTCTATGGATCCCCCTTCCCTTACCACTTCCAATTACCGGCCGAGACTTCCCGTGAGACTTTACCTTCACACGTACCAAGAGGCAAAGTGCACGGACCCTCCCATTCCCACATCTACGTTTGGCATAAAACACCCACTGCAAAACCCAGCGCCCTGTCCTGCTGCAGCCACGGGTTGCTGTTTGGACCGTGCCCTGTCTGGCGCCGTCTTTGCTATCACAACTCTTCTGAAATAAGCTCTTGCTCTGGGCTCTGTTGGCTCCAGATTTACTATCAGGAGAACAGCTCTGAGCCCAACCAGCCAAGTCCAGCTTTCAAAAGACATGCATGGTATTTTGCAGACCAGACCGGTGATCTGTACCAAGGAGAGCGCTCTTGAACCCCCCGAGAGGTGGGACCGCACGCACTGGGCTACAAGAGGAAAGCTGGTACAGCCCTTGCTCTCTGCCCTTTTGCATCTTAACTGCCCAAGAAACACCGCGTTTCAGCGCACCGGCTTGCTTGGGTCCGATAGACAAGACCCGGGGATGCAGGCATTGCAGACCGGGCTTTCTCCCCCTCCTTCCCTCGCTGTTTTGGCTAATTCAGCAATTGCACTTTCCATTCCTCAAAATGCCACCACCCCAGTCCAATTCCCTCATTGCACACTTTGAGCTGCCCTGCTCATCCCCCTGCAAGATCAAGGCATGAACATCTCCAGGGATTTCTTTGCTCCCTTCAAACAAAACTGTTGAAGAGCAGAGGAGCACCGCTGCAGGAGGAGATTAGCCCCTGCGGGAAGCACTTGGGTGCCGAGCTCTACATCCAAGGGCTTTGCCTCTGAGAAAAAGCCCCCATAAAGCCAGTTGAACTGCTTAATTGGGGTGGAGGCCTTCGTATGGGCCCCTGCACCGGGGAGCTTCCACCCACCCAGAGCTTGGACCAAACCATCTTCCGAGGCCCTGCCACCCCTGCCCAAGTGCGTGGCCCATGGTCCACTAGACAGAAACAAAGGTCTGTTTGTGAAACTGGAAAAAACCCAAAAAATACAAACAAAAAATTGAAACAATAAAAAAATTGCAAATTTCAACCCTTCCCTTTGTGTGAATGAACCAGGCCAGCTAGAGCAACTCCTGGTCTCCCGCCTGTCAACCAAACCCCATCCCAAAGCTGCTCCCCGTGTGGTTTCACACCTCTGAGCCTCAAAAACATTGAGGGTTTTAAAAAAAGGATTTACAAAAAGAAAAGGAAAGTTGGGAAGTACCTGTGATTGGGATGTGACATAAGGAATCCAATATACACGATGGCATTACGCACGGTGACAACCGCATTGCTGCGTTTGTGGTTATCAAGCACTAGAGACTCTTCAAGAACCACAGGTTCCCCTAAATATGGTTGTTGCTGCTGAATTGATGCACAAGTTCAGGTTTTAGCACGGGAGCCACACATAGCCCCCCCAAATGTGCCAACTGCACTCTTGCTGATGTTTCTTTGCTCTGTCTACATTGAGAACAAAGCATTTGCCAATGTCTACAAGGCAAGAGGGGGCCAGGGACCCGACAACCCAAGGTTTCCCCGCTGCCAGGCTGTCTACCTTGACTGCTAAAGGCTGGTAAACAGCCCTTTGCCATCCCAGCTCACAAGGATGGATAACAGCTCGCAGAGTGAAAGCCACGATCCAAATCTGCATCATTTGCAGAAACAGAAAGTTTTCTGGATCCCGTCTCTGCACAGAAGCATTTGAGTGGACACCCCTGGAGCAGATGGAGCCTGCCCTTGTATTTGCTTGAAAAGAATCGTTTTGCTCCTGGCTATTAAACAGGGCGACACACTCATCGACGTGTGAAAACGAGGGGTGTTGTTTAGTTTTGGTCTAGGCAAACCTGCTCCTGAACTCACTGACCGATTTTCATTGAGTCCTGCCCTCTGCTTACGGGAGCAGACTCTGCAGAAAACCAAGACAACCCTGCAAGGTGACCCCTTTTAAATAAAAGGAAAGTCTCTTTTGGTTGATGGAGTGATTTTGCCTGTTCATTACCAAAGGGACCACCATGGTGTCAAACATTTATGAAATACCAGTGCGAGACATTCCCTCACCCACCTACAGTCTCCTTTCCTGTTTGTGCCAAAGTCCTTTCAAGATAAATAGCAAGATGTTCTTAAAATCCATACTAACTCGAGCCTGTGAGGATGTCCAAAGCAACCCGCGCTGCCCCGAGCTTTGGATTAAAAGGGGACAGTCCTGCAACAGGAAGTCATTCCTGCATGTAACACAGGGCTTTTGAAAATTGCTGATGTTTCTTCGACTTCCTTTGGGGATATAAGCAGACCCCTTGAAGCCGTTACAAATGAATTCAGCTGGCTTACAGCGGTATCACCTTCGCAGATGCATCTATTTACAAGTTCACGAAGTTAATGCCGGAGCTCTCCAGGTCTTGTTACGTGGTACCGAGTTGAGCTCGCAACTTGTATGTCGAGTTATTCACCAAGGATAGATCCAATTTCAGAGTATTGAAACCCACCGCCAGCAAAATGCTCACCAGGTTTCTCCATTTTGACTTTGAGAATACGCTCACGAGGCAGAGTCTTGGCAGATCAGAAATGAATCGAGACACGAAGGTCAGACCAGCCGGGGAAAGGAGTGATGCTGGGAATCGCAAGGCTCATCTTGAGTAGGACTGGAGGTCACTGGAGAGCTGTAAGTCACAACCCACCCTTTTTTAGTCCCTTTTGGCAAAATAGCATCCTGTTACAAAGACTGGTACGAGTGCCACGGCTTCAAGTGACAAAAAAAAAATCAGCACGATTTCAACTTGGTAACATTTAAAACATGCACTTGCAAAGAGGACCGGTGTGCTATGCAGGATTAGTCTCAGGAAAGGCAGGTACGATGCTTGTGAAATATTGCCAAAGACAGTGCAGGCAGATCCCGTCTCAAATATCATCCACTCGGGCCAATACACTGGACTCCTGAATGGCGACAGATCTACTAACCCTGTCCTGATGTGTCTGAAACCGAGACCCAACCACGCAGCAGTTGCGTGATGTGGATTTGCTAAAGGCCAGATTGGGTATGAAAATTCAAGTCACTTGTGACTTATACCTGATTTGACACAAAGATTAAAGGCTGGTGCCTCACCTGACTGCTTCACCGACTGCCACAGAGCCTAGAATTCAAGAAATACAAATGAATTTGTGCAGACTAACAGGGACATAGCTAACAGTACAATTAAACCAATGTATTAATCTGTACTGTTTGCCTCAAGAAGTGCACGTTCTGAGAAAAAGCAGACGTTTGCAAATGCCTGTCTGAATTTAGTCGAGTACTGAGTTCTTAAATAAGGTAAAGCAGGTAGAAAAGTTGGGAAGAGCCGTTTAGCTTCCCTGTTACATGAAATGAAAAATTCATCGTGGATTTAGCAGACTGTGTTCACTGCAGCAGGTCTGCTGAACTGAAGCACTGGCCAAAGCTGGGGACTTGAAGCACTGCCTTAAGGCAAGGTACCATGGGTTCAGGTGGGAGCAAGCCTCAGACATGCTCCCAACCTGCGCACCTTGGTTTTGAATTATTCCTCCACTGCTGTTTCAACCTTGTGCCAAAGCAGGTGCCAGTTTTCGGGATGCAAGCTGAGACCATGGAACAAGTCTTCCTTGCGACCTAAATTACATTCAGAAGATTTCCAGAAGTACATGACTGCACTGCCTCCACAAACTCCATCGTTAAAATCCCACCGATTTCTTTCCTACATCCTATGATCTTTGTTTCTTCGTTCCAATGGTGTTGAAATGGCAAGTCAGTCTTCACATGCAAGCTGGATGCATGTTTTAACATACTCCTGGCCAAGAGTGTCTATATTTTTCACTCATTTGTATTTACTGCTTTTTAAAAAAGAAACCCCAATATTGTTTAATAGTCCATAGAGGCCTAAAACGCATAGGATACAACCTGCTTTTTCAACACCTCACTTCTTCTTGTCCAAAGTCCATCTAGTTTTCATTCCAGCTGCTTGCTGCCTTCCGATTTCTGGTCCTGCCTGCTCTTGTTCTTCACCACGTAGATGAAGTACGCGAGCGTCTCCTCCTCATTCACGGGGATATTCCCAAAGCGACGGCCGATGGTCTAAAAGGACAACATTTAAAGAGGGAAAAGTTTGCGAATGAGGCAGAAAGAGTCAGAGCTACAGCTTCATCTTTGGTCCTTGCAAGATGGATTTTAACTCGCCAAGCGCAACACACTTTTTATGCAAACATGCACCAATTACAACGGTCGGTCCTCATTTCCCTCTTTATGATAGCTGAAATGCGTATGCGAAGAATTGCCTTGGTTGGTTAAGAGTATCAGTAGCCCATTTACAAGTGAAATTTGGAAGCCAGGATCTCCTCCTGCCACAGTGAAATCATCTCTCCTAGGAAAGCATTACCAGAGATAACTTTGCATTATTAGTAGAAATCCCCTCAAATCCACTCCATGCTCAGTAAGCTTGGAGAGTAAATTTTCCCTGTAACTTGGTATGCTAGGGAAAGCTGATGGAGAGCTAAATCTCCAAGCTTTGCTACGTGACCCAGAAGCAGCAGAGATTAATCACATCTTTGTCCAGATGAAAATGTGTTGGGGAAGCTTTCGCTGAAAGGAGCGCAAGGGGGATCTGCAATGCAGAAAAAGCAGGGATGCCAGCGGGAAGGCTTCGGCAGGGACCCAGGACCACTAGGCTGCTTTTTTCACCATGGATGTAAAAACCACGTCACAAGGGCAGAATGAGAAGATGTGTTTTCTCCTATGGAGAAAGCGCCTCTTTTGGTACCTGACAGCTCCAGAACTGGCAGGGGATGCAGGTTGAACAATATGAATCACTCCAAGAAGACTTATGGAAGTTGGAGTTTTTCTTACGGTGGGTTAGAAGCAGATGTCTAAGTCTCAGGCAGAAGTGATTCAAGCACGGGAGCCGGGCGAGGATAGTTTCATAGGTCCTAGGTTTCATAGGATCCAGCGTAGGGTCAAAGCTGCTCAAACTGCACAGGAAATCTGGCAAGTGTGGGACACTTTTAAGTTAGGTTCCCCTTAAGGTTAATCTCTGCATGCATAATATTTTTTGCTGGGGGAAGCAATGGGAATGTACTTCAGTACACAGCATTTGATGGCGGTGGGGGGGGTAGTTGAAAAGCTACTTACTAGTTAGGTAAAATGCTGGATCCACATGAATGAGGATGCAGACTTCACCCTTTCCAATCCACTCTCTCACACCACGCTGCATAATATTATGACCTGTCATTCTGTATTTAAGCTTGAAAAAGCGCAATAAAACATTTAATAAAAACTGCTTGGATGCGCCTAAAGGCCTGTCAACCCAGCCAGAACAACACCGGCCATATGGTGGTAAAAGCCCTAGCCTGCAAAAGCAGGAAAGCAGGATTTATTGAAAAAGGCAATCAGGACTCATAATAGAGATGATCTCTTTTGTTAGACCAACAAGATTTTTGCAAAAAAAAAAAAAAAATCTTTAATTTTTTTGCAAAAATCTTGTCTAATAAAAGGGATCATCTCTACTACGAGTCCTGATTGCCTTTTCCTTTAGACCAATACAGCTACAACCTGGATACCTGATTGCTTTAAAGGCAGGGTTACCCTGAGCTATGAGCAGATCTTCCCTCAGGACATGTTCAGATGAAGTCAGGGCAGAAAGCAGAGACGCTAGCAGTAGCCTGAAGCAAAAGAGCCGACTTTAGCCCCAGACACAGTTTTCTTAAGGATCATCCTGCCTGCAGCACTCCCCAGGTGAAAACCATTCAGTCCCATGCCTCCGGTGCAGGACTGAAGCAAACATCTCTTAAATGAGTTACTAGGCAGGTACAGGATGTCTGGATCATGGGAGGAGAGTGGGGAGGACTGGGCTAATGACTTCTCCATTAACAACAAGTGGGTATTAACAGATAATATGGGCATTTAAAGTGACTGTTAAAATGTGAGCCAGGACTTTGCTTTACAGTGGTCTCTAGCTAATGCCGGTAAAACTGCAAACACACTGGCCAGAAGAGCATCCCATTTTTTTTTATTCCATTTGTTGTTCCATTTAATTCACTTCTTTAGTGAAAAAGTGGGGGGAGGAAGAAAAAAAAAAAGCTGTGGCAAGATACCCTTCAAGACTGACTTCTAAATCTGTTTCTCTCCTAGCAGGGGAGAGAGTTTATAGTTTTCTAGGAGGACAATTTGCTGGAAACTCATGGTGGACCATCCAATACTTGCTAGTGAGAGAGTTGCAGTAGGTGCCAGTGGCCAGAAAGGCTGTGTTTGACAGGGATCATGGGGTATACATTTTTGATAAGGGGAGAAAATACCACCCCGCTCTCGACTCCCACTTACTTCTGCTAGCTGTGCCTCGCTGAGGCTGGGCCTGGTTTGTACTTCATAATGCCTTTTGTAATGTCGTAGTGTGTTCATCTGGAGCTGGAATTGGTCAGCCTGGTAGAGATACAACAGGATAGGCAGGGAAAAATGGGATGAGAACTGGCTTCAAGGTGTTAGTCCATAATGGCTCTAAAAATAGCACTTCCTGACTTGACCTGACTGCTCCCCGTCTACCTTCAGAGCC